AATGGTGCTCCCTCCACCTCTGTTCACTCGGAGCACTCCAGACGCTTCCCGGTGCTGGAGCACGACAGGCAGCCACGCTTCCTCTCCTCAGCCACCCTTGGCGTCGGCTCATAGATGCGGAGCATCGTGCTGCTGCTCCTCACTGCCTCACCTCCTGCTTGTCTCTGTTTCCCAGCAGTGCTGTCCCTCACCCAGGCAAAGCCGCGTGCTTGTTTTGGCCTTGCTCATGCTCTGAACTCCAGGCAGCGCTTGCCACCATCCAGAGAGCCTTCCCTGCACATCCGCTGTCCCACCCGCCACTGCTGTGCATCTCTGGTCTCCGGAGAGCTCGGCCTTGCCACTTGGAGAGGAGCAGGACAGGCTGGTTTTTAGCACCTTTGTGTGGGATGTTGGCTGTCCCCAAGAGACTTTCATTTTGACGCTTCTATGAAGCGCAAAAATTAACAGAATTTGACAAAATTTGCTGCAGAGGAGCCTTCAGCTCCAGGCAAAGCTGGCAGGGGGCTTGCTGCGCTGTGATGCACTTCACCAACACAAAACCAGACACCAGGTGTATTTCAGGCCCATGCCCGACATGTTTCGGTAGCTTTACTCATTTCAAACCCTCTTAGAACAACCAGATCCCTTTTGTTTCCTGCTGCTGCAGCAGCTCAGTGGGTGAGGGAACTCAGCAATCTGCTGTGAGGAGACGGATGGCAGGGGGCTGGAAGGAAGCGTTTCCCTCGGTCAGACAGCCCCCGGCGCATCACTGAGATTCAGAGGGAGGGCTTGGACCCAGCCTCTGCCCCGAGTTGCAGGGAAGAAGGTTTGTTACACGGTGCAACACAGAGCCCTTGTTGAAACGCTGGCTGCCATTTGCAGACCCTTCCAGTGAGCCGGGGTGGGTTTAACCCACAGCCACTGTTGGTCCATCACGGCTGCGGGGCACAGCACAGGGAGCCCCTGCGATCAGCAGAGCTCAGGCCAGGTGATTTCACGCTGCAGGCGGTATTTTGTGATGCGGGAAAAGGCAGGGCTCGCGGCTCACTGGCGGGGGGGTTGGCGGGCTGGCTGTGCCAGGGAACAGGGAGAGCGGGAGCCACTCTTGTGCCAGGTGATGGAGAAGCGAGGCTGAAAGGGCTGTGTGGTGTTGTCCCCACCTGGAGATCCCCTGTGCTGTGTCTTGCACTTTCTCCCTCGCAGAATTTGCAGCAGATGGCACTTCCCCAAATCGCCCTGAGTTCAAACGGCCCTTTGGGGCGGCGGGACCGGTACAGGGGAGGAAAGTGTGATTGGTGGGACAGGGCTGCTGCTGCGCTTAAAGCCTCTGACTGCAACCGCTGCGAGCAGATGAGGAAGTGTCACGGCACGCCGTGAGCTGAGCCCCGACCATGCAGCCCCTCCGGCGCGCCCACCTGCTCCTCCTGCTCACCCTGCTTGGCCTCTGCATGGTAAGAGAGACCCCCACGGTGTGGGGCCCTGCCAAGTCCTGGGGGGGGGCCCAGCCAGCTCTGCCCCAGGGGTGCCGATGGCGGTTGGGGGGCTCTGGGGTTCAACCAGTAGGAGAACTTCTGCTGAACACCTGAGCATTTGACTTTCTGTTTGACTTTAACCCTGACTGTCTTACCAGGAGCTATGCACCGTGGTCTGTAAGGTCTAAATACTTCCAGGCGTTGCTTTTTTGAAAGTGCTTTTGTACTTCAGAGCATCACGCGTATCCGTAACCTTCGCACTTGGCTCTCTGCCCCATCTTGCAGCCTCTCCTTTGTGCGCTGGCCCCAGTCCGCACCTGCTGTGGGGATGCCGAGCGTGACCGTGGGGCTGCAGGGCACGGCTGTGGGGACGCAGGGTGGGCACGCAGCTCCCTGGCTTCCTCTCGCCTCTCCCTGCTGCAGGTTGTTGTCCCTCCTGCCCCTCCCTGGGCTGGGTTCCAGTGCTGCGCTCTCCTGGGAGGGGACCGTTGCGTGGGACGGATGAACGTGCCCGTGCTCTCAGGGCGGGCGATGCTCTTTGGAGCAGCTCTCAGGATGACTTTTTTTGTTTCTACAGTGTGTGACGGGGCCAGATTTGTCTCTGGCTGTTTCACTCAAAAACTCCACGCAGCTGCAAGCTGCTGCCCGCTCCATGGGGCACATTTATGTCCCGGGAGTCCCGCTCTGTGGCCGGGCCAACCAGCCCAAAACCCTCCCAGCACGAGAGTGCCTGTGACAGGATAGAGCGGGGCGCTGGGGCCCCATCCCTGGCCCGGCTCCGGAGGCACCCGGGGAGCGGTGCGAACCCCTGTGGGGGGGCTGGTTCACGGAGGGAAATGGCGTCCCTTTTCCTGCAGCCCAGGGCAGTGCTGGTCCCTGCAGTCCCTGCT